TTGGGAGTAAAGCGCTCCGTAATAAAGGCAACTATGTACCCAAGGGGCTCAAATCCGAGACCTCTTGGTTAAGGATGAAGGGGTACTTACCACTCCACGTCAACCCTTGTTGGTAACAACTTTATCAGTTATCAGAGCTCGAAAACTTACCATATTTCTTGATGATTTCAAGAAAGAAAGGCACCAATCTTGGGGATAAATCATCATTAGAAATATTCATAGGCTTTGAATTAGCTTCTTTAATCATCCCAGAAAAATCTTTCATATCACCATACAATATTCTGTATGAATTCCCTTTTAGCTCTTGTTTCCTCAACAATTTCTCCAACTTCTTTGGTCTGAACCAAACCCAATTTAGTACTTTCCATAGACACACAAACAGAGCAACTGCTATGACACAACAACATACTGTTACTAATATTTGAATTTTGTCCATTTTGTTTGAATTAAATTTATGTGTGCATATAAATTACTACTACTATATATTTATATCTACCATGTTTCTGGGAAATTAAGACATTGATGAGCAAAGGCAAATATCTGAGGACTTTTTATCCTAAAAAACATAGATTGTATCCCCACCCTCCGACACATCCCAGCAATGTACAACAGATGTCTACGTTTAAACGTCTTGCTTTCTTGAAATAATAGAAAAACATAATAAGTAGGTCTATAAAATCAATCAATAAAATCATTTACTTTTTTTCCTCATCTATTTTTTTGTTGAGACTGACATCGAGTTTTATTTTATTCAATTTGATTTTCAGTTTATTAATGTGAGAATCAAAATTATTTAGGTATGATTTTTTCGATTTGAATCTACTATGTATGGAAAATATATGTCTATTTTATTTTCTGAAAAGGCAAAAGAAATCGACAAAGTCAAAAATGATTTGTGTCTTGGAAGAGAGCATTTTCTTATTATTTTCAAAAAGAATTAATGAATTTTTGACCAAACTAAGTCATTATTTAAAGCAATTTATCAAAATAGTATGTTTTTAAAATTTTTTACAAAACTAGTATAAACGTATTCCATAGTAACGTTTTAGGGTATATTATATTTTAAAATTTTTTAGTTGTGTGTTGACGGCGTTAAGTTGAGAAACGTTACTGTGAGTAACGTTTTATAATACGTTACTTTGACTCACGTTTTACTCCTAAAACGTTACTCAAAATAACGTTTATTAAGAATCCAATCCTGCAAATTTAGAATCAAATCCTGTAAATATAGCTATAGAACGTTACTGAGAGTAACGTTTTATCTTTAAAACATGATTGTATGTTTGGAGCAGACACATCTAATATACCTATAAATTTCAATTAATTGGAGTTGTTGTCTGCATTTTTTCTTGGGAAAATTTTCAAAACAACAATATTTTAGCTTTTAGTAGGATTCCTTAACAACAGTTTCATTATTTATTAAAAATGTCATTATTTTAGTTTGTTAAGGAATTAGTTATGTATTTATTTTATTTTGATTAATTTGAAAGAATACAAATAATTAATAACAGAACAGAGAAAATCATGGAACAAAAAAATTCAAAAAAGGTCAACAAGATTTTAAATACAAATTAGTTACGTTTTGAAAAAAAGTATAAATAACCATCTTTCCGTCGAGCATTTTTTTGCTTTCTTCTTAAGAACATCAAAAAAAAATTAAAATAATTTAGTTTGTCTTTCAAATCATTCATTTGATAACTTTCAAAGCTTCTTCAAGTTGAATACGACATATTTTTGAAACCGAATTTTTCAAAATTGACAACTATAAATTTGTCGCATTCAGTGAACAATCGAAAAACAATCAGGTATTTTGTTTTCGATTTTTTTATTTGTTTGGATGAGATATTCGTATATGTCGAGTACAAGAGTGTTTTTTTTCTGATTGATTCAGTGAAATCTTTGTATGCATTGAGATTTATAACTTTTTTCGGATGTTTTGTATCCAAATTATGATGTATAACAAATGAAATTTTTTATTTTTTTTAGTTTAGTAGCTGTTTTTTCTGTTTGAATGCATACAATAATTTGTATCCCATTAAGTTAATGTAACTAATCGATCATGTACTATATGTTGAATACAACAATAGATGAATACAAAAGTGAGATGAAAATATAAAGTTATAAATACAAAGTGAGATTGAATATAAAATTGTGAATACAAAAGAAATACTCTCTTCATTTGAAATACAAAGTGACTTTGAAAGGTAAAATACAAACTAATGGATCATGAACTATATGTTGAATACAACAATATATGAATACAAAAGTGAGATGAAAATACAAAGTTATAAATACAAAGTGAGATTGAATGTAAAGTTGTGAATACAAAAGAAATTAAATACTCTCTTCATTTGAAATATAAAGTGACTTTGAAAGGTAAAGTAGGCACATAAAATACAAAACTTGTTGGTATACAATTAGGTTGAATACAAAACAAAAGAGAAATACAAACTTGTTCACATATAAATTGAGATTGAAATACAGAATGAATACCCAATAAAATACAAAATTGTTAGCATACAGTTAGGATGAATACAAATTAAGAAGGAAATACAAACATGTTGGTATACTAATTGAGATTGAAATACAATGTAAAAACAAAAAATGTAAAACTTGTTGATATATAGATAGAATTAATACACAAATAAACTATTGATTAGACATTGTAGACAGACATATGCTTTCCCCAGATCTAAAACCCTAAAAGCAAATATAAATGTATTAAAAATCAAACAAAATAATCATATGAATGAATTTGTAGATTCTAATAAATCTGAAATATTAAAACGAAATCAGAAAAAAATCAAAAAAAATTTATTTAATTGACTAAAAATCTAAAATATATCAATTTTACATGAATATGTAAACGAACTTGCATAAAAATCAATATTATCAAATATTAAAATGTATTAAATATCAAATAAAATAAACATATATATGAATTTCTAGATTCTACAAAATCTGAAAAATTAAAAGAAAATCACAAAAGAAATTGAAAAAATTTGAAAATCATAAATATTTGATGAATATCTAAACAAAATCACATAAAATTCAAAAAATTCGACTGAAAATCCGTAATATATAGAATCCAGAATATACACCATAATCAGTGATTTTAAACAACAAATCAAAATAAATAATGGAAATTACCTTGCCAATCGAGAAACTGCTTGAATTAATAAAGAGATTGTGTTTAACAATCGAGAAAATTTCTTGAATTAAAATATATATTTTGATGAACAATTTGTGAGCACCTTGAAGAAAGAGAATCTGGAAAAGTGAAAAAAGGGGTAGAAATGTGAAAGGTGAAGAAGGAAGGATAATGAGTATTGGTTTAATTTTTCTTTTCTTTTTAAACAGTTATTAATTTAGAATTTGGTTCAATATAAGATTGTTTTCATAAATAAAATTAATTTTAAATACTAAAATCTGAATACATATTATTTTCCAAAATATTGCCATTCTGACATTTTAAATAAATATTTTAAAGTGTTGTTATTTTGACTAATTATGTTAGATATTATGACTTAATTGCTAATTTTTCCTTTTTTCTTTGATAAGTCATTGCTATTGAAGTCTACCTAGTCTAGATATGTTGCGTATATTTTATCATTCAGATTCCAAAAATTGTTTCCTGCATTAGCTCAAAGTGCATTAAAATTCTAATAGTTACTAGTATTCCATGAATCACGCCATTTGTGTTTAATTAGTGGATGTGGAAATTGGCTCCGTTTAGAAACCACACATAGGTTATATATGTGCAATAGTTTTAGAATTTTCCATTTAGTACTACATGTAGCTAAGTTAAAAATCAACATTGTGTTCAGTTGGCTTAGAAACCAACATTGTCATATCACTATCTTAATTTGTTGAAATGGATTGTTTGATGAGAGTTCTCTATTAAGTTCTAATTTATGCAGAAACAAGCTATTGAGGCCGCACAAAAAGCTAACACGACTTTGTTTGGATGCGAGCACATGTCATACTTTTTTGAGAACTACAAAGTGGTCGCTGATATTTTTTGCCAATATATTTTTGTTGTTTGGAGGGAGTTGAGTTGGTTGCTTCTTATGTATTTGGCACTCTTAATCATAGAACACAATTCTTTCTCTCTGCTTCGAAATGCGAGTACCTAATTGGGAAGTATAGAGTTGGTTGTTTCCAAAAGACTCTCGACAGCTCTGCAGTAGAGTTTAACTTCTCCATTTTCAAGGACACCAACATTTCCAAGCTTGATCATTGAAGCAACAAATTCCCTGAAGAACGTAGCTTGATCATTGGCAAATGCCTTGACAATCAATCCAATTTTGTTGCCATTCAACAAACTCTCTGATGCAAAAACATCTTTGAGATGATTGTTCGAAATGTCTCCTAGAGACTTGCAATTCTGTAATTTTCAAATTTGTATTATCTCTTTGGCACTTGCTTCAATCAAGTTTACTCACCTAATCCAAGTCTACTCAATCAAATATAGGCCTTATTGCAGGATTCGATGGCCCTTGATTGGATTCTTAAGAAACGTTACTGTGATTAACGTTTTAGGAGTAAAATGTGACTCAAAGTAACGTATTATAAAACGTTACTCACAGTAACGTTTTTAGCTTAAAACTTTACTCACAGTAACGTTTTTAGCTTAAAGCGTTACTCACAGTAACGTTTCTCAACTTAACGCTGTCAGCACACGTCTGATATTTTTAAAAATAAAGTATATCCTAAAACGTTACTGTGAAATACGTTTATACTAGTTTTGTAAAATTTTAGAAAAACGTATTATTTTGGTGAATTCAAATAATGGCCTAGTTTGATCAAAACTTCAAGAAATAATAATTGAAAAAATAATTCAGCGAATATTTTAAAAATTATTGCATAGTGTAACAGTAAACATAATAATGTAGACAACCTAAAATATTTAAAAACCTTCTCCAAATTTCAATTGTGTCACATAAATTGAAATTGAGAGAACACCGTATATTGAACTCTTGCTAGCTCGGGTTCCCATGTGTAGAATATTTAATGGATTTTCCTCAAACAAATACAAAATTTAAACCGGAACTATTAAGTTTGTCCGAACAACAAAAACAACTTACCCAATATGAGGGTCAAGGGAGAGTGGAGAGTACACCATATAATCCCCTATCTTTATGACGTAGAGAAACATGTTTCTGAACCCATATTTAATATTGTAACTCCACCCCTGAATCGAGTCTCAATAAACTCTTCACAAAATATGAAATTATAGTTTGTGGAAAATAAGTGGAGCACCATACTGAGGCTGAGTGGTTACCGAGGACTGAGGAGAATGGGTGTAGGATGGAGACAATTCAAAAGAGAAGCTTTGTAGGATCATACACAAAGTCATCTTTGCCTCTAACATGGCAAAATTTTGTCCAATGCACATTCTAGGACCCCAAGCAAATGGAAAATATGTAACTTGACCCTTTGTTGCACTTGATATTCCTTCTCTAAATCTATCTGGATTGAACTTGTTTGCATCTTCACCCCATATATCTTTATCATGATGCAATAATATCATTGGCAATGTGACTAGCACACCAGTTGGTAGAGATACTTCTCCTAGCGTAATGTCTTCATAAATTCGTCGGCTAAGTACTGTTATCGGGGAATATAGCCTTAATGACTCGTTTAAGATCATCGTTACCTGCAAAAGGAAATGCTCCTCCATCAGTTATATCAAAGCATGACGGAGACCCGTAAAAAGTTATTTAAGTTGCTGGCTCCCGTATCATCAGGTAACCAACTTAGTTTACCTTCTGGCACTAAGCAGACATTAGCCCCCACACATGGTCTTACGACTTTGCCAGGACCTAGTTATTGCTAGTTTCGACCTCCTTTGTGAGGAGGCACCCCTTATCCCGAAGTTATGGGGATTCGTTGTTGACTCCCTTTATTATTAGTGGGTAAACTAATTCCTATGAGTGGAGTAATATTACTCTTGCTTGTAACCAACATAAAGAGATGTTCCAGAAATGAGATTATCCCCGCTATAGAAGACATAATTCTCTAATAGCTTAAAGCCTTAGATGAGATGGTCACACAATTCAACGTGATGTCAAAGCAAGCAGATATCCTATGTTCAAGTCTCACCCAATCGATAATCAAACGAAATTTACACGTGCTTGTAGAAGAGTCCTCCCGTCCTTCCTAAGGAAACCATGAAAATTGGGTTCTTCTATTCTAGTATCAAAGCTCTAGTCTTTTAAAATTCAAGCACTCAAGCAATACAATACAATACAATGAAAGTAAATATACTCATGCCACATTTATTGAACCAACGAAACTAGAATACTTACAACTTTTAGATGATTTAATCCATCAAAATCTGGTTTCCGACTCCCAAACACTTGCAAGACTTCTTCTCTGGCCCGTGCCTGCCAATCTGGATATCTGCTCAACAACACCAGAGTCCACAGAATCCACACTGATGTAGTTTCTGCGCCAGCAAAATAGAATAGCTTGCATTCTTCAATGACTTCTTCAATGCTCATTCCAAAGTCCTTATTTCCGTGCAGTTCAATTTCTTTAAAATTTGATTCCAGCAATATGCCCAATAGATCCTCATTATCGGCATTCCCAGCTTCCATTGCCTTCAATCTTTTATCGATAATACCTCTAATTGAGGACCGAACATCCTTTTTTATTTCCTTCATTCTTCTGTTCCTCTTTGTTGGCAAAAATCTTTGAAATTGTTTTATGAAACACAAAACCAAAATGCATTCACAAAAATTAGAACTAATCAATTTGCATTTCCAATAGCTACATTTACCAAATTCTTAGGAGAATTAAGTTACCTCCATCCTGGGATATAAACTGAGTGTATAACTTCGAGAAAATGCTGAGCTTGTTCCTGTTGAAGTTCAAAAATCTTTCTACCTTCTTCATAACTACTGCCAAAAGCTGTCCGAGAGATCACATCACAAGTCAATTGCTGCAGGTGCGGCCATACATCTATCTCATGAGAGCCTTCAACTTGAACAGCGTCTTCCCATTTGCTCAGCATCTCACTACAGCTCAAGTAAAAAGCTGGAAGCATATGCTGTTCGAGAAAATGGTGAACCAGGGAAAATGTCAATAACACTAACACTTGAACATAATTAGGAACACATATTCAATCACCATCTAGTAAATATATATAAGAAATTACTCCACTGAACATAGTCCTCTCTGGATGTAGGAATACAACATGGACTAAATACGTACTCTGTCCAAGCCAAGGAACTTACGCAAAGAGAGTCCTGATAAATGATGATCCAGACAAGATTCAACTTCTTTGAACCATAAAATTCACTCTCTGATTGTCAAACTCAAGCTAAGGTAGCAGAAATCACTCAATATAGTCATATGTCGAACATACAACACCAAATTGAAAACATAAAGAAGTAAGAGTGAACATATTATCGATTGGTGGAAGAACAATCTAGAACATTGAATCATGATCCAGGTGAGATTCGTCCCTATAGAACCACTATTGCCTACATCAAGTCAGGTAGCAGATAGCATATTACTTGTAATAGTCATATGACATAAAAGTTTAGATTGAACGATAAGGAAGGCAAATCAAAGAAGATAGAAGCAATAGCACACATAGAGTAAGAATTGCACAACATAATAGTTTCTGGTTGACCAACACGAAGTTGAATGACAAACCTTTAACTTCTCTAGATGGAACGCGGGATTGATGATTTTTCTATGTTTAGCCCATTTGTCTTTCTCATAGCTTACTAATCCTTGTACAAATAAGGTGCCTAATGGATTTCCATGAGGCTTTTGATACACATAGTTTTTCGAGAGTACTTCCTTTATAAGCTCAGGATCCATGATTAGTATTTGTGGTCTTGGACCCATCCATATAAAACTTTTTTTGCCTGCAAACATGTATATGTCTCATGATTAACTACAACTAGTACAAATTTCAAAACAAAACATCTATACAATCGAGGAGAACGAAATGAACAGAGTGATCTTTAGAAGATAAACAAACCAGGAGAACAGGCTCATTACAATTTCATTGAATTCGAAAAAAGTTGAAACAAACTACATACTCCAAGGAGCTTCTAGATAAACTGCTTATTTGTATTAGGAAGTTCAGTAAATAGTAACTAAAGAAAACTATGGGTACAACTTCAAGTTCAAAAAGCTTAAACTTCAAATCCTAACTCCGTCTGTGGAAATGAATGAGGGATTTGTGAATGGATATCAAATTCATGAATTTAATCTACTACTTATATCACTAATTAGTAGTTAGAATAAGGTAGCCCAATCCACTAAAGCTCCGGCTATGCACAGGTGTGGAAAGAAACGGACTGACTACAAGAGTTTATTGTAAGCATACATTTCTACGGAAAGTGTTTACAATGGTCTATTGTAAACACCTTTTATCCTACATGTCTACATAAGGTTGTTGGTTCTACGACTTGAACCAACTCGTGATTTCCTAATTACATGACATCAACTTTATGAGTTACTCAATAACTAAAAAAGGATTATGGATATATGTGTTCAAAACTAATAAATTTAAATTTCTGATTCAACCGTACAAATGAAAAAAAAAAATTGAGTGAAAACTTACCATATTTCTTGATGGTTTCAAGAAAGAAAGGCACCATTCTTGGTGCTAAATCATGATCAAACATATTCATAGGCTTTGAATTAGCTTCCTTAATCATCCCACTAAGATCTTTCATGTCCCCATACAATAATCTGTATGAATTCCCATTTAGCCCTTGTTTCCTCAACAATTTCTCCAACTTCTTTGGATTAAACCAAACCCAATTCAGTACTTTCCATAGACACACAAACAAAGTAATTGCTATGGCACAACAACATATTGTTACTATCATTTCAAGTTTTTCCATTTTTTTTTTCTGAGTAAAAAATAAGTATTACTATAGTTTCTTGCACTTAAAAACACCTAGCAAGTTCATGTAAACTACAAAAACGATGTCGTCATGAGTGACGAACAAAACGCAAAATTGTCTAAGGTTCTCTGTTCAAGTACGCAAGTTGTACAATTATAGAAGAAAATTTTAAAATGATGTACATGAGTGGATCTGATTTAATTTTATTTTATTTTATTATATATCTGCTTTGTACAATTATAGCAAGAAAAAATTAAAATGATGTACATGAGTGGATCTGATTTTATTTTATGCTATTATATATCCAAAAGTAGAAGTAACTAGAGACTAGAAGCATACAATTTAAAAGAAAAGATATTTTCATTAATCTAGAACAACGATAAAAATTTTGAACGACAAATATTGTTGGATATTTTAAAATAACTTTAAATCCATTATTGACATCAACTATTATGTCATATTAAATAATTTGGATGCCAAAAATTACTAACTACATCAACACTTGCGTAATCAACCTGCTCACCAAGTTGATATTCCCTTTCTCCCCAAGTTAATTAATAGTCTTTTCCTTTGCCTCCAAGTTGAGATGTTCTCCACCGCCTTGCTTATATATATATATTATATATATATATATATGTTAGTTGATTTAGTAACTAAAAGCATGATACTAGATAAAAATCTAGTAAAACCTTTATGGTATATAGAATACGAAACCTTAGTAACAATACTTAAGGTAATGAAAAATTTAAATGAAGATCTAAAAAGAAAGATAGTGTCTATAATCACTCTTAGAATAAAGAAAGAGGAAGAAAGACAAGAACTAATATACAATTCATATAGTTTTCATAGTGAAACTAATATGATGGATACTTCTGATTATTACTATTCAGAATAAAATGAGTTTAAAAGAAGTCTCAGAACTTCTAAAAGACTTAATAGAAAGTCAAAAACAATTAACCTTACGGTTAAAAATGATAGAAATAGAAATAAAATATATAAAAGAAAATATTCCAGGAAAATAACAAATATGATAGAAAAAACTGAAAAGTTTGATAGAATAGTGAGTAAAAATATATAAAAGACTTGTTAAATAAAAAGACTGCAAGTACAAGCACCTATCAGAAAGGAAGCATGGATGAAATTTTAATCCAAAATTTCCTTGAAAAACAGAAAATGAAAGAAAAAGATTTATATGATCTAAAAACAAATCTAGAAACAAATCTAGAAGAAAATTCTGAAAAACTTAATTCTGAAGAAAAAGAATCAAAAA